TTTGAAATCTTCAGATTTCCGTTTCAATGGTGGAACCGGAAGCATGCGAGGTCTCACATGCAAGCTTCAACTTCAACTTGAAATGCGTCTAGCATTTGAAGAATGAAATCTAAGAAATTTTCATTGTTTTTTATATAAAGAATAACCTGCTTTCGTATGAGCCTCGAGAATACTGCATTGTACTGTACTTCCTCGGATGAAGATCTAAAGTACTTGATATCCACGACGTGCGCTCCAAAATGTCATCTGCGGCCTATTTTAGCCGAGACATTCGAGTATAGGCCGCAATGTAGCCGCACGTGTGCAAAACATGCTTAAAATTATTTGAACTCTGCTACCGGATCAGCCCCAAGTGGCATGGATTCAAAATTTTGAATCGCCTCATGCTTTCCTGCGAAGGCCTTATAATTTTTTCTCTCTCCCAGTCGTACTTGAATTGTCAAAACAAGTAGGTTATTCTCCTATTTAACTCGGGTATATGCTTTCGAAACAATTAGCAGGGTCTTCCGTGGGCCGCATGTTTCCCCCGAATTTCCCGCGACCATTTTTCACAGTCTATGCAGTTTTCCTTGTAATCGCTACCCGAAATCAGAGTAGGGCCTATAATCGCATAAGTGCAGTATATACACGTACAGAAAACTAGGTGAACAGGCTCATTCCGGCCAAACAGAAAACAGTAAATTCTGCACCCTAGTTAACCCAGACATGGAAAAACAAAGATTTTTATCGGGGTTGTGCAGACAGCTACAAATCTCTCGTGCGTAAAAAAGAATAAGAAAAAAGTGCCCAAGTGTAGCGTTACATGCAAAATTCGCTGCACGCGAGGTTGTCAGCAGACAAACATAGAATGGCCTGCTTATCATTGAGCTATGGGTCTCGAAAATGAGTCACTGCGTTACTTTCCCGCAGTTCTTACCTTTTTAGATTTATGTTTGTGGTGCTATCGTGCTCGGAGGCCTTCTTCGCTCCTTTCAACGAAATGCATTCCAACGATGGTGAAACTCAGAGGGGAAATTGGAGCCTCCTCCTTCCGGGAAGGAAAAGCATACGGAGTTATCAGCAGGAAGCCGGAACTGGGACGACCGGTTTCCCGGAGCCAAGAGTTCCTCGTCACCTCGGTGACAAATTTGTCGACGGGGCCGATCCATCATAGCCGCGACTGCGGGAGCTAATGAAGGGCGTATTGCGGGGACGTTGGCGAGGAACCCCCAAACGAGCTCAAGAATCATTGTCCGTGCGGAAACGCAGTCCTCGATTAGAGGGACGCGTTTCCGTTCAATTTCTTTTCGCCCGAGATCTGGGTTTTGCAGCGAAACCTCGTGAGCGAGTGGATTGTGGAAGCTCCAGTCTGATCGATTCCGAAGATCCGGGCTCGTATAACCCAACGTGGGTTCCTCCGACCATTACTTTTCCATCTTTTCAGCTCGCGCTGCACTGACGACTCACGTCATCAATCTCGATGCTATCTCACCACGCCGAGTTCCAGTCTTTGTTCGGTCAACTCGGCGCTGAAAGTAGTCCCGACACCGCCATCACCGCCACGGATTTCAGTGGTCGTTGGAAATGGAAAGTCGGGAAGCCGGAATCTGCTAAGCATTCCGAAGGAACAGAAGACGCGAGTTTCCGGCACAATCGCGGATGACGGTGCAATTTCCGTGTCCCGAAAACGCTGCTTTTACGCGACTATGGGCCGCGTGCACTATTCGGCCGCAACCCGAGGTTCCGGCAAGCATTTCAGCGGAAATCATGCTTCTACCACGAAAAAATATTGACGTTTTCCGATGGAAAAATGGTCGAAGGCACCCTTCGAACAGTAATTCTTTGTGGTCTTCGAAATTCAAATGACACGGTAGGCCTAAGGATTCATTGGACTAGGTGGAAAAAGCCTCGTACAATTCCCAAGCAACCGGAAGGCATGCAGCGAAATCAAATAGAATAAAATTTCCAGGGTGATTCCCCTATGACGTGTATGTATGCTTGCCTTTTTATACTCTAACCAGATTTCTTCCCTGCCACGTGAGGGTGCATAAATTTTAATCTGCGCTTTTTCGAACATTTGGCAAAAAGTTCTTAATTTTCGAGGGGAAATTCATGAAAGAATAGGCATGGGACATTAATTAAATTTTGTGCATAAAATTTTTTTTGTAGAGTATATAAGATCATCAAGAAAACTGTTCATGAGCATCGTAACAAGTGAATGAATTACGGAAATACTTGAAGAAAACGTCATCTCACCCAAGTGCGATTTCCTAGAGCAGAATTTCCGCCGCCGTCTTTTTGCGTTAAATTTCATACGCTCATTCGCAGTACTTGAGTATAGGCCGCACCTTCCAGACAATGTGGCCCATCCAATATTACGATTGTGGACCGCACCCAAGTTTTCAGCGTATTGATTGAGGTAAAAATTGCGGGCCATGCCGGCGTAAATACGGTAACGTGGTAAAATAAATCACGTGCGCGGAGCAAGATTCGGACAAACAATGGGATTAATCCGCGGGTAACCGGATTGCGAGACCAGACCGAAAACCCCCAGGGTGGGGCACGTTCAGACTCTGTCCGGCGGCGGTTGACAGAACTTCGCCCTGCGAAATTGCATTTTTGCATTCGCCGCCGACAAACGGAGCATGTTTTGAAATAACAATGACCTCCGCAACATTACGAACTACTGTACAACAAAACCCAGATTAATGACCAGGTGCCTTATATCTGATAATCAAGCATCGCTGTTAACAAACATTGTGCGTGCACTGTTCCAAGACTTGTATTCAACAGATTTAAAAACGCACGTTATTGATTTGGCGTGAATATCGCCAGAATTTCCGCACACTATATGCTTTAACCAAAGAGCTTATTGGAATTAATGAAAACAAAGAGACTCGGATGAAATGATACAGAGTACTGTACGTCGTTTCCCGTCGATGCACGATTAATGTAGTTTACGGTTAATCGAAACCAGTATAACCGAGTTGCGTCGTAATTTAATGCTTGCAAACATAACAAGTACATGCACTGCACCAAGACATAGTATTCAACAGATTTAAAAGCGTATATGTTATTGATTTAGCATGAATATCGCCAGAATTCCCGCAAAATGCACGCATTAAATGGAGATGAAGTAGTATCGAATAAAATGACAGAATATTTTGCTTCCCCTCGAAGCAGGGTTAATTTAGTTTACGGTTAATCGAAATAAGGATAATCCAAGATGTATCGTAATTTAATGCTTCCAAATGTAAAAAGCTGCTTCCGAGAACATCTACTGAAATGTTTCTTTTAACATGAGCGCGCATAACGTCATGCAAGCGAAACGAGGTTTACTCTCGTTAGATCAGGGAAGATGTTGCATGTATGTTGTCCTTTGGGAATGTTCTTCATTTCAGGCGGAGCTCGAGAAAAAAAAGGCAAAAAAAAGCGCGGAATCCGTCTCAAACATGCGGAACGTTTGTGAATTGCTTTCTGTTGGGGAGGGATGCACCTGGCTTCATAGGATCACCGGGTTGTCTGTGACAGATCCAGGATCAAAAGCATTTCCTTCCGTTCTCCGACTGAAAACACGCTCGTAATCCAGAAATTCGGGTTGATGATCAGCAACTTTTCAAGCTTACGCATACAAGGGCATAGAACGAACTAATGCTGGGAGAAGGCGATCCAATTTTCGCAGAGCTAAACGCATACAAGGGATAATTCAAAAGTTTCGTCAGCCTTGAAATCAAGTCCTTTGGAAACGAGTCAGAATTCCAAAAACCGCTGGCGGATTGATAAAAATGACTTAAATCGAAGCTCGGTTCAGTAGCTGGGTACTTATCCAATCCCAGACCTGGCTCACGTACCATGGAACATTTTCGGACAACCTTCACATTCAGCATCAAGGCGAAGAAACGTCGAAGATGACAGTACTCTCGCAGAAGAACATGTTTTTTTTTCAGATTTGAGGCATTGCCGCTGACATTTTTCACTTTTCCGCATTTTTTGCAGCTTCTGTACTGTTTAAAAATTTATGAAAAAGTACTGTACCGGCATTAATTTCCTTTCCTGAAGTGCCCTTTCAATGTTTTATTTCTTAAATTCATTTTTTCGCGTATACTTGGACATTCAACGTGAGAAAATGATTAAACAGGAATCGGAAAGAAATTGCGTCCATAAATCTCTTCGAATTGCAGAAGACTCTCGCGAGGTATCCCTTGAACTTATTAACCGGTTTAATGGCATTCGATCGATATCTGAAGCGTGTTAAACTGTGCAAAAATTGAATGAACAGTTGAAACGGCAATCCTAGATAATTAGGTATTCGTTCAATAAACTATGTTATTGAACAGGTCCGAGAGGACATTGAACTCTACAGTGAATAAGAAAATTTAAGCAGTTAATATCAGAGCCTGATTCATGCCGAACTCGCGCCACTGATCGATCTCGTTAGCTCAACGGGAAGATATCTGCACGGACTGGTTGAAATTTTGCCAGGAACGTGTCCGCGAAACGCTGCATTTAGCACGATATGTCGTCGAGAGTACTGACATTTTCCCCGCGTGCCTTGGCCACTTGGCCAAGATCTAATTGGAACCCGGCTCGAAATAGTTGTGCGCAAAAGCGCAATGAGCCGGTCGCGCGAATCGTTTTCACGGTCTCGCACAAACGCGTCAGCGAAAAACAAAATAAAAACGGGATGTAAAAATCTGCACACTTTTGTCTGCCAGGTTTTCGGGGAGCCAGGTGCCTCGGTCGGCCCCCGCGGGCTCGATCCCATCAGCTCCCCTGTGCCGGGAAGAGGTGAGGGCGAAAAACAGCGGAAGCAGCTGCCCACGCGCCCGTATGTATTTTAGGTCCTCGTAATGTAACTGAAATTTTCACAATCCGGCATCTGGCTTCGAGATAAAATACTGTATTGCACGCGCAGCACGCCAGGCACGCTTACCCGAAGCTTTTCGATTTTTATCCACCAGGGAGGAGAGAAACTGCTTGCTACGCAGGCGACACCGCACCGCAACTAACTCATCATCCAATTAACGCGAGCACAGCGGATCATGACATAGTCGTCCCGCCAACGCGGAAAACTGAAATGCTCTCTGATGCTCCCGCCTGCTCAGTGTGGGCTTCAGGTCGTCACCTTTCCTTCCCGTCAAACCTTCTCCGATGCTATATTGGATCGGGTTCGGATTCTCCAGAACCGCTTCCCTCGTCGCCCCGGAAACCAGGGATGAACTTCGCAGAGTTTAGCTCTTTTTTCCAAAAAAAAAATATTCCTGCATGCAGGGAATTTGACGTGCAGAATGGTTCGTTCTATTTACGAGCGATTATCGAGTTGGAGCGGGGAATTCGATTTTCGCCCAGAAAAGATGCATACGCATTTGTAACACGGCGTTCTATAGTCAGTCAGTGGTTCGCGCGCATCTTTATTGGGGTACGTGAGCATCAAGGCAGGTGGTAAGAAACATGTTCCAATATAATAGGCGAGCTTATGGATGAAAGGTGCATCGTCGACTGAAAACATAGAAATTGGCGCGAAATTTCAAATAAATGCGAGCGGGTCAGTAGAAAATGAGTACAATTGAGCAAATGGGCATACAGTACTTCATATGAGACGTAAAAGCGAAGGCCCACGAAGTTTAAATCTAATAGGGCGTTTGAAAATCAGAGATCCAAAATAAACTATCATGCCCTCAGCCTTACTTGAAACCTCTAGAGAAACTTTGTTCCCGTGGGGTTCACATGCAAACATTTGGCATTCACGTACTCTGAAATTAGCGCGACCGAGAGTACGGTTGAAGGGACAAGTCTCAATACAATTGTGCCACACAAAAATCAAAGAACGACACTCTGGAGAGCCAAATTAATATTGTGAACTGTAATTTTTGACGTCAGAGAGAATACGCTTGCTGAAACCGATCAACAAAATTGCCTTAATCCTCTAGAAAAAAAAAATGTGCTCAGCCGCAAAATCTAAATTTTCTTCATGGAAAATGGATCAACGTTCAGGCGGTTATCCGAAGCATATGCTGGTATCTGAGACAAATTTTTCAAGGAACTTCACACCATTGTGAGGATAGATCGCTATCCGAGGCGGCGTTCAACCATTGTAAACGAGAAATTTTAAAGAAAAGCCGAATTTACTGACGCAAACTTTCACGTTGAAAAAAGATCAGGGATCCATATAAAAATCCAAAATTTATAAGAGGAAATTTCTTTCCGGATCTTGCTCGTGAAAATAATGAGGAGCACCTCAAACGGAGGCTCGTAATACACAAGCGAACTTTTTTTTTTATTCGGAAAACTAGTTCGCTCTGATGACTGAGATTAGTTGCATGGGTCAGGGAAGGATTAAGTTTGGAAGATGCGCTAAGTACGAGGCCCGGAGGAAAAGAAAAACGATTGATCATCCAGATACTCACTGATGACACTGGTGAAGACAACGAGGCAGGTAATGACCTCCGAGAGACACACGACGCGCATCGCAGCGGGCAGTTTCATCTCCGCCACCGACACTAACAAAGAAAATATTAATCCACTGCCATCGAAACCCGAGCCCTGTAAAGCTGAGCGCAAGAAAAATGTATCTCGCTGAATGCACCCAGTCGATTAATCCCCACCCGCGAGCATCGGCCCAGGCGCACAGCTTCGCTCCTGGCGGCGAACTGGGGGAGGAATGAATTGTGACCCGCGCGTATATCCGGGCAGGGACCATTACTTCGATATAGGGATGGGACGTGCGAACCCGGCTGAGCCCGGGGAAGGCGACGTGCGGCCCGCGGGCCAATTTCATCCTGAACCGTTCAATGTTTGTTTCCTCACACCCCGGAGATGTGATTTCGCCGGAATGATGCTCTCGGAAAGAGGACCATATGCGCACGGAAGCATGCGATGATCTTCGTTTCGAAGGCAGACTCTCAGGATTCACTGTATTATTGGCTCAGGGTATACAAACCCGACGGGATTTGCGTGCAGGGTAAAATTCCGATTATCCTGATTCCAATCAACCGGGTCAAAATTCACAATCAATGATAGAAGGCCGAAGGGGTTTGCATACCCGGAAAATCATAACCTGAGTCACTTCACATCTTTCCGATAAATCGAATATGCAAGCTAATTTGCTTCGAGCTTTTCGGGAAAGTCAATTGCCTTATACAGTATTGTTTCGGAACATTCTTGATTCGTTTATACTTCAAATGTCCTCTTTGATTGTACTGTACCTTCAATAATCCGAAATATTTTATTATTCGGGACAATAGGCATTGATTATCCGGCCGATGGGTTCATTAGCGTGAATAATCGGAGTTCTGCTGTATACTGTAATTTTTAGCAACTTCATTTTGTCTTGCGTGTGAAACATTTGAGGATACCAGCCATTTTTCGGAGTCGTTTAATGCAGCTGACGACGAGAAAAATAGGAGGGAATATAAAAATCATCGTTTTTAATCGAAAATGAGACATTATCATTATTTTCATCCCTAAAACTTTACAAGACCTCATTAAACGAGTTGGTCGAATTTTCAGTCCAGAGAAACAAAGTTTATGAAATACTGTACATCGATTGGGATTCAAGTGTTGGGCCTTTTGGACGAGGAGAGTATTACTGATTTTGAGTAGAATATTCAACCCTGGGAGATCAGCATATGTGTAAAAAAAAATGTATTACGTGTACTTGAAAATCCGGGAGCTCTTATGTGTGTCTGAAATTAGTTCTTAGGTATGTTACTGATGGCTAGGCTGTATTTTAAAAAGAAAAGCGCTACCGAGCTTTTCTAAGAGGAAATATAAGAGGACATTTTTGATATGATTTTCCTCCCAAATCAGCACGATCTCGATTTTTATTCGAAAGATAGGGACATAATCATGAACCAAACTATTATTTCATAATGTGTTTTTTTCCGAGAATTCCCGTTAGCAATATGTAAAAAGATGTGTCAGAATGGTTATCACATGTTCAGTCAGCAGTTCAATCTTCCAATCTTGAAGAATATCGGGTGCCTTTCATCGGCTAAAATGCGACCAGTTGTGCATTTCCTCAAACGAAATATCAATTTCCTCGTTACTTCGAGTTTATCCCGAATTCAATGGAAGCCCAGAATGGAGATTCCGTATCGCCACGAGAATGTTTAAAAAATAACGTTTTTCTGCGTCTATGAGCAACGTGTACAGAAATAGGAGAACCCCGTGTAGCACGAAAGGGATTTACTTGATTCTCGTCTCAACGGATTCAGGTTTTTGATGGTCTGGAGATCCGGGTTCAGAGTTCGGGATTTGAAAGCAGCGATCCCACCAAAACGCAACGTGCTTAGGATGCAAATAGCGACGAAAGTTTTGTGCAAAATTCTGCAATCCGAAGGTTGTCAACCGGTGTTCTGTTTAACCCTGAGAGCTCTAAGAATGTTCCAAGAAAAATGCAGAATAAAATTGAAATCGATTTATGTTTGGGCCTGAAACATTTTCCATTTTTACTACAGCAGGGGATCTGTTATTTATTCTGATTTTAGTGATAGTGAGAAGAAAACCCGCTACTACTTGCTAAACATAATTCAAGTTTGAACTCCAATCAAAATGTGCAGAAGAAATTCGATGAGAGGAATTTTTTCAGAGAATCGAAACCTTAGGAAACCTCTCAAGTATGAATCATAAGTACTCAACTAATGCTCCAGAAAAAATAGGGGAAAACGCTTAGACCGAATTTTAAAAATAAGCTGCAATCCAGTGATATTCGTGTGTGTCTTTTCTAGAAATCTGAACTGGGACCCGCACAGAATAGGCTTTGACTACTGGTGCATAATTTCATTCAACTAAATTTGGAATTTTATGTACATGTCACCAGCGTATAAGCGAGAAGATATCATTCAGGTGAAATTTTTGGCAGAAAAAAATAATGCGAGTGGTACATATAGTACTTCATCAAGGGCTGACTGTATACATTTGAAACTCAACCTAAAAACCCCCGAAAAATATTTTTCAGAAGCGGCTCTGCCAAATAAATTTATTCCGAAAAGGACTCCGCGAGCTAAAAGGTTGAGAACCTCTGCTCTGAAAGCAGCAGTGCCACAGCTGCATTCAGTTTTATTCTTCTTTTTGAAAGAAAAAAAAAGCAACTGAAGTGAAGACTTGAACTTTGCGGGGAAATCTGGATTAGGAATCATCCAGCTCGTTCTCGCCGGCAACAGGCCATTCAGGGAAATGCCTGGTGCTTCCGGAGGGCCCGGGGCTGATCGCGGCTCCGTCCAGGGATCCTTGATCAGTCTTCTTGGTAATCACACGCTCATCTTCGCGTGCAGGGACAGTAGGGCAATCTTTGATTAAACGCTGACGCCGACGTTGGTCGATTTTCGTTCCGCCGTCTCCGTCGCGGCGCATCAATCCTGAATGCAGGTCCCATCGTCGCCCTCCCTCGAATCCCTTGTTATCGCCGTATTTAATTCACGGCGGTCATCCTCATCAACCATTCTTCCTCATCAATGCTACAATAAGTGTTCCTTCTTCCTTCTCTAAATTGACCGACGCCGATTTAAAAATCCCCGGAAATATCTGCTCCTCTTTACGTAAAAATAAAAGATAACATCGACAAGCTATCTGCGAGCTTTTCATTTTCTAGCATTGGTAAAAGTGTCCCTTCTTTCGTCTGAAGTGATCAGCACCAATTTCTGATTCTCGCAATAGCTGCTACTTTTCATGCAAAGAAAAGAAAGAAAACATCGGCAGGTTTCTATCAACGAGATTTTCTTTTCTATCGTTGATAAAAGTGTTTCTTCTTTCTTCCCAATTGATCAACACCAATTTATGATTCTCGGAAATATCTGCTCCTTTTGATTTGAAATGAAAAGAAACATCGGCAAGCTTCTTTCTGCGAGCTTTTATGTTCTGTTTTATTATTGATAAAAGTGTCCCCTCTTTCGACTAAATTGATCAATATCAATCAATTATTCGGAAATATCTCCTCATTTTGATTTAAATGCGAAGAAAACATCTCCAGGCTATTTTTTTTAGTATGAAAACGAAATTGAAATTTATTTCCAAAGCCAAGGTTGGTTTGGAACAGTAAGCGACCTAGAAAACAGGCAATGCAAATTCTGAAAGAATATATATTGGAAATTTTTTGCATAGTTAGTATTTTGCGCATTCATAAATATCCTGCCAATAATGCAGATACAGCACAATAATTATAGCATTGCGAACTTAATGGGGTCGACTTTATTTTGATTTTTTCTAGGCAGCCGTTTTTCCAGGAGTTATTATCACAGTTTAAAATGAATAACATTTTTTCAACATTTTTGAACGTTGGACGAAGCGGGTATGTTACAACTAATTCTCCAGATGTCGAGGGACATTTTTGCTATAAAATACCCACAAGTCACATCAATAAACATCATCTGTATGTTGGGGTGTCCAGATGTATGGGGAGCCATTGTACTCGCGCGGACAGGATCAGGATCCATGCCGGAGATTGCTTTTTTCTGCACACCATTCATGTTCCTGCATATCTCGATGAAGCATCTTTCGTTGATACTTTGTATTAGCTTCCTCAGTATTTTTTGACTGTGATAATCTACATCCCTCGAACGTATCCAATAATGAATAAATAATTCCGCGAATGCCCAGGAATAAGGTCGTATGTTGTCGTGCTTCCGAAAAAAGGGCCCGTTTTTAGCAGACGGTCAACAATTTTCCTTTCGCGAGAAGAAAGAAAAAATGTTTATACTAGGTCTACGGAATTGGAAGAACTTTGAGTGCAGATAAGGTGAAACAATACTTTCATCCGAGCTATATCGAGCTTATCAGAATATAGCACCTCGTCGTTGTTCAAATTTTCTGTCTTCAAATCGGCCAACCTTTTTCTGGTTCTCCTCGCAAATACTGAGTATGCATAATATTCACGTAACTGAGTTTCAGTGCAGTTATTATAGCACTTCATTAAAGTTAAGGGGTGGGGGGAGTTGAGATTGGATCAACCAATTTTATTAGTTTTGACAGCGTATTATCATAACATATTCGAGGTATCCATTAACCGATTTCCTTTTTTGACAACAGATAATATCTTTACAATGTTGCATTAAGTGGACGGATTTCGAATAGTGATTAAATAATGTATGCGATGCAAAAGCTTTGTATGTGGTGGCGCCTGAAATTTTTGAGGTTTTTTTTTTTTCTCCGCTGGGTCATATTTTGAGGAAATACGGCAGCAGATGAATATATTACTTAGTAGGTCGAAGAAAGATCCATAGATAGGATTCATGATTAGCTGAAATGAAGCCCAGATAATTTATATTAATTTTCGAAGCCTTCATGAGGGAAAGAGTTCGTATTCGGAGATGAAAATGCGAGCAGCTGGAAGGTGCATCATGTGTGGGGAGAGGCATTCGTCATCTGTAGGAATCGAAGTCCATGGAACCAAGCAAGTATCGATCGGAGTCGCAATCCGAGATGAAAGATATCGTGAGGAAGGAGTAGTGTAATGAAACCTACGGGAACCGACACCAGCTGAACATGCGTATGTGTTTTGGGCCGTGGCCAAAAACAATAGAATAAATCCACACCGCCGTGTCATCCTTCGGATCATTCATTTCGGCGTTCCTATGTCTCCCGCTGAGAAGCGGGAGGGAATCGACCATACTGAAACTGCTGATGGCATTCTTTCTGGGTCGCGCATTTTCGTTTAAAAATGCTGATTGAATGGCTCACTTTGGCTGGAAACTATCGTGAAAGGGAGGAGGGAGCTTACGCGTGAACCGACTCACACGGAAGGAAATTTCGCGGGACAAATTGCTCGGAAATCAACAGCAG